TGCGAACGTCCTCTTTCCGCACGGATCCTCGGATCTCGCGCCACGCGGCACGCGCGTCGGAACCGTTCTCCGGTACCGAACGCGCGGAAACGTTTGCTGCCGGGGCGAGAGGCGACTCCGCGCCTCGTCCGAACGGGCCTTCGCGCGTCGCGGCTCGCGGGTTCGTTCCATGCGGCGCCGCGAGCGTCGAGGGATCGCGATCGGCGACGACCGACGACGGCGTCGCGTCGAGGGTCCGTCGTTTCGATCGAGATCTCGGCGGGCGGAGTCGTCGGTCCGGATCTCGCGAGACGCGAAGGTCCCGGAGCGCGAACCGGGACGCCCCGAGCGAAGAGACGAGACGGAACGTCGCCGATGCTCCCGTCGAGGTCTCCGCCGTGCCGTCGGTGGAACCTCGGGGAACGATCGAAACGCGGTGACGCCGAGCGTTTTTTTGCAGCCTCGACCGCGACGAACGAGATCCGGACACCGATGGGTCGCCCGCGACTCTATTTCCTGCGTCCGTGCCGAACTCTCGCGTCGAGCAGACGGACGAGTGCACGGAGGCGAGAGAAACAGACGCAGGGATGGGAGGTGACAGACGCAGGGATGGGATGTGACAGGCGCAGGGATGGGAGGAAACAGACGCAGGGGTGGAAAGCGAAGGTGTGAAGACCTCCGGGGCGAGGATCCAGAGACGTTCTGTCTCCCGGACGCGGCGAAAGCACCGGCTCGGCGTTCGCGGTCCTCGCGTTCCCGAGGGCGACGGAGACGACGACGCGCGTCCGATTCCGAGGATCGCCCGGATCGTCACGGATCGGGCGGGTGACGCGGGGATTCCCGCCTCGAAGCGGAGACCGAGAGACGCCGGAGACGGGTTTCTCTCCTTTCGACTCGACGCGATCGAACGCGAAGCCTCGCGTCGGTCCGCGGACGGCATCCGAGGACGACGGCGACGTCCCGCGTCTCTCGATCGGACCGATCCGGAGGGAGCGAACGGGCGCTCGCGAACGCCGACCCGTCGGGGCGGGTCGTACGGGGGCCGCGTCGTCCGAGATCGACGACGGCGACGAGAGATCTTCCCGAAGGAGCGCCCGGGGTGAAACCGCCTCCGGAGCCGGGGACGCGCGAACGCGACGACGCGATCGCGGGGTCGGAAACGCGGATCTCGTTCCGCGAATCCATCGCGGAGAGAGGAGAGACTCGTGTTGCACTCACCCGTTCCTCGGTCTGCGGTCTGCGGGACGCGATGGCGACTGACGCAGCCGCAAGGACGGACGAAGGCGGCCCGAGTCCCGTCCGAGCCGCGAGATCCCGAGTCTCTCGCATCCTTTTCTCTCTTCTCGTTCTCGAAGCGGAAGTTCGGACCGGATCGTCCTCGATCGAGGGTCTTCTTCGTCCCGTGCACGCGGAGCACCCGGAGGAGTCTCGCGGGCGTCCGGACGGGTCCGATCGCGATCTCGTCCGGCTTCTCCCGTCGGCCCGCGTTCCCCGCGACCGCGATCCGGTTCGACCTCGGACCCGGAGAGGGGCCGCCGAAGGAGAGGCCCAGATCCAGACGGAAACCGGGCGACGAGGCTCGGGTCGATCCCCGATCCCGAGATCCGTCCGGGTCTCCTTCCTTTCCTTCGTTTCCTTCCTCCTTTCGTTTCGATCTCGATCCTCTCGGAGTCTCCTCGGGAGGACCCTCCGGTCGACCGGGCTTCTGCTTCCTCGCCGGGGAGCGGAGGTCCTTCCGCGGCGGGTCGGAGGATCGAGTCTCCGATCCCTCCTCCTCTCGCGGTCGGGATTCCGGCTGTCGTTCTCGTCCCGGCCGGAAGGAGCTCGACGCCGGTCGTCGTCCCCGCCGTTCCGGACCCCGGTCTCCTCCTCCCTCCGATCGGCGAGGTTCCGTTTCCGATTCCGATCGCTCCGGGATCTCCGGTTCCTGCCGGATCCGTTCCGCCTTCGGGTCTTCGGCGTCGATCCGCGGTCGCGGCTCTCTCTCGGGAGGGTATCGCTCGCGAGTCGACGGCATCCGGATCGGACGCGGTTGCCGTCCCCGCACCGGTTCCGCTCTTCCCTCTCGCTCCTCGCGGCGTCCTTCCGTCTCCGGTCTCGGAGCGACGGCGCTCTCCGGAAAGGGAGGAAGAGGCGAAGGAGAATCCTCCCTCTCGATCCCGTCTCTTCTCGGCTCCTTC